TGAGGTTTTAAAAAAGAGATTGGACAGTCACTTGTCTGAAATGGTATAGGGCCTTCTGCTTGAGCAAGGGGGCTGGACTAGAAGACCTCCAAGGTCCCTCCCAGCTCTATTCTATTCTGATTGGAATTGATTGAAATAGGATTGAACCAGAGGTGGGTTCCTACCAGTTCGCACCTATTCGGTAGAACCGGTTCGTCAAATCTACCGAACCGGTTAGAAGAGGTTCCACCAGTGGNCTTGGGTGGAGGGTTGGACTAGATGACCTATAAGGTACCTTCCAACTCTGTTAATCTATATCCCTGGGATGATAAGAAAGGACACCTTTCTTGTGCCTTAAAATGGCTTCTACTGTACTGCCGTAAAATGACTTCTACTGTATAGTGCAGTGGATGTTGTCATGGTAACAGCTTCATAGTACCCGACAAGGGGGCTCCCTCTGGTAAGGGGGAAAATCCAACATTAGAAATTACTTTGGTCTGGACATTTCCCACCTATAAATAAATACCCGGAGCAACGCCGGGTTATCGGCTAGTATCTATTAAACAAATAATAATGCATTCATCTTTCTTGGTTTGTCCTCGAAGGCGTTTCGCTTCTGATCCAAGAAGCTTCTTCACTTTTGCCCTGAAGAAGTTTCTGGGATGAGAAGCAAAACGTCTTCAAGGGGGGAAAAAAAACCCAAGAAAGTCCAGTTGCCTTTCGGAGAAAGCACTTTTGGGGACAACCGGGATAACTGGATAATTGAGAATCTTTATAGACAGAATAAGGAAACTAAGCTAGAAGTTTGTGATGCTGGGAAAGGTGGGAGGAAAAAGAAGTGAACAACCAGCAGCAAGATGGATGAACTATTATAGTGGGTGAAGGATTCAGCCTCGGGAGACGTGAAGGACAGATTGTCATGCAGAAAAATGTATCTTCCCCTTAAGAGGCGGCTGTGTCTTGATGGCAGGTAATCAAAAGGATAGAAACCAGGTCGCTGTGAGTGCTTTCTGCCTTAGGCACAAAACCAGAGCGGGGTGTGTGTGTGTGTGTGTGTGTGACCTTGGGCTTGTCCGAGAAGACAAGGGCAAACCACTTCCATTAAAGTTGTCAGCAAGGTAGCAGGGACCCCTCCCTGGCGTTGTCAGAAGTCATAACTACCTTGAGGGTCAAATAGAAATAAAGGCTTAGCTGGTGTAGATTTGACATTGGGAGAGGGGGGTGGGTGTTGGGGTGTTGAGATGCTGCCATGACACATTTGGGCCACGGTTACATGTGAGTGCAGGACTCCTGTGCGAAAAGTGTTTTTTTTTTTTTTTTTGCTTGCACTCCTTGACCACCACTCACTGAAATGCACTACTTCCACGGAAGAGATTTGATCTCTGTCGTGACCCGTCAAAACCGTGCTCGACTAAACCACACCCAACTAAACCGCGTCGCTGACGTCATCAACAGGGCGACAACAGCCAGCGCAGAGAAAGGAGGGCGCTTTAAATAGCGCTTTGAAAGCAAGCCGATTCAACTTAAGATAAGGGTTAGGTTTAGGATTAGGTTAAGGGTTAGGGTTAGGTTTAGGATTAGAGTTAGGTTAAGGGTTAGGATTAGGTTTAGGGTTAGGTTAAGGGTTGGGTTAGGGTTAGGGTTAGGTTTACGGTTAGGTTTACGGTTAGGTTTAGGGTTAGGTTAAGGGTTAGGGTTAGGGTTAGGTTTAGGTTTAGAGTTAGGTTAAGGGTTAGGATTAGGTTTAGGGTTAGGTTAAGGGTTAGGGTTAGGGTTAGGTTTAGGGTTAGGGTTAGGTTAAGGGTTAGGATTAGGTTTAGGGTTAGGTTAAGGGTTAGGGTTAGGGTTAG